TTACACGTTCTAGTATGTGATGATCTGCAAATGTGATATTTGAATATGATAGACCCGTTATTCTATATCAGACCCAAGTTTAATATTACATTTTACAGGAGTGGTATAAGAGAAAGTTTGTGTCTTGGTTTTAGCTTCCTCAGCTAAATATCTAGCTAATGCTTCTCGAATAGATTTGTTAACTAGAAAAGTTTCAAACTGTTCGAAGATATAGTCATTTGCGGTGTCCACAATATATGCATCATGAGAATAAGGAGTGGAAGAGTGGCTTCTGGATCAGTTATTAAATCAATAGTCTCTATTATTCCTAGATCTATTTCTAGATTGGCTTCAGCTTCTAGATCAGTCATATCTAGGACAGTTAGAATTTTAGTCTCTGGATCTATTTCTATCATAAGAACTAGAGCTTGCAACCAGATATTTTTTTATCCATACAGTTGTATCCTTTTTATAAAATTAATATCCAGGTAATTACTAGTTTTTAATTTAGGGATAACCGGATAACCGAACAGATAACCAGATAACTTTGTGGATCATCAAATAACCTCGCAGATAACCTGAAAACTATTAAATAACCAGATATTCTAAGGATACCATGGGTAATCTTGTTAGTCATGAGCATGTTTTGTATTGACATTCGTGGTATTATATTTTTAATTTCTATTTATGTGCGTATTGTATTTTCAAACTTTATTTATACATAACATTGTATTTTCACTACTTTTATACAGAAATATTTTCAAACAAATAGAATTTATTTAATTTTTTTAATATTCAGCCAGATCAAAAAATGCAGTATCATGCCAAAATATATGTAATTTTCTCTTAATATTTATAAAGTTATTACCAAATATACTAAGCATTAGGTATATTCTGTATTGTTGTGCGTTGTAATCTATGTATTACTTCACTAATTCGACGTAGCACTCAGGAATCCAGAAAAAATTCAGGCTTCAGTTCTCTGCATGTATCGAAAAGTTTTTAACAAAGTAAAAATTCTAAACTAGCATAAAGCATAATACCATAATTCTTATCTTTAAAATCATTTTTTAAACAATCCTAGATTCTTGATATAAAGGTTTCTAATTTTCCTAGTATCGCCTATAAAAAAAATATAGTATATGTTATAATTAAAGCTCAGAAGTATGACTATAAGGAGCCATTCTAATATCAGCTATAAATGTAGCCAACATAATATATATTCAATCTTCATATTACAGTCAATTATGGTCAACACTAATGATATTGATTTTTGTCAATCATGAATTTCATACAGATTAAATAAATTTTTTAACACTTTTGCAGTATATTATGAAACTATAAATTAATTAGTTCAAAGACATGTTTAATGCAAACAAAATAAATAACAATTTAACATGCCAAAAAAAAACCTTTAATAATTGCTATTAGTCAAGGATTTATTGCCCAAAAAATTGGCCAGACATTAAGCAAACAAACTATTGAAAAAATTTGACAACAATTAAAATTTTCCTATCAGAAAGAAAGAAATGTTTATCAGGTTCAAATACCTTTGTCACGACTAGATTTCACCAGTCCCGCGGATTTATTAGAGGAATTATTACGGATTTATGATTATAATAAAATAATCAGTTCTCTGTCTGCTGGCTCTCCAAATGCTATTTCTAATAGTAAAAACGAACAGGCCAAAAAACAAAAAAGAATCCTCCGTACTTATTTAACTAATTACGGCTGACAAGAAATTATTACTTATTTGTTGGTCTTGGCTGCCATGAAAAAGAATTTTCTCTTCTTAACTAGTAGTGAATTTTATCAATTATTAAAGCCCAAAAATAAGTATCATGAATATTATCGTCAAGCACTTATCCCCAGTTATTCAAGAATACTGAAGTATAATCTCACCTATAGGAATAAAGACCTATTTTTTTTTGAAATTAGTGTGGTTGCGGGTCCTTTTTTTCAAGAAGAATTGCTAGTAAATTAAACCTAGAAAAAAGTTTATAGGATGATTTAGGCCAAATAGTGGCTAATAGTTGGTGGAAGCGATAAAAGAAGAATTGTTGGCAACTGCCAAAAAAAGAAAATGATATCTGAGTTGAATTGAAGAAAAAATGAAGCAAATAATAGTGGCCTGTGAAGATTGGTGTATTTCTCGGCAAAAGAAATGGGGAGTGCCTATTTCTGTTTTATATAAAAATAATAAACTATACTTTAAAAACTCAGATAAATTTTCTTAGAATTATTAAAGAACAATAGTCTAACTTTTATACCATTCGATCTGAGCTGCAAAAAACTATTATACTAAATCCTCTATTGATCATTTTTGTTCAAATAATAATTTGGATAATTTGGAGATAATATATTTAATGGGCATGATATTTTTCTAGTATTCAATGATAATAGGTATTGAAAATGCAATAATGGCCCATATTAAATTTTCAAAAAAGCATTATTTTGGCTGCGATGTAGCTCACTACATATACGGACTTTATTAGTTATAATTCGATTTTACTGCATATATTCTTGATTTAACTAATATTTGGAAACATGCTTCTGACAGTACGCCAATTATTTCTCAAAAATACCAAATGCTCGAAAGTCATAGGTAAAAGTGATGTTCTTTTTGCTGTCATTATATTTCTAGCATCGCTAAACAGTCTTTCGCTTGCAGTTAATGTTGCTGGAATGGCCAAGTATTTTCGAGCTAACTTACTTAATATAGAGTATCGGTTTCGATTATTATTCCACCAAGTTAATGGACATTGATTCCATTGAAGTTCTTGCACTCCAAGATAATCTGAAACCTCCAATTGCGAGCTTCTATTCTGAAACATTGAGGCTAATAAAGTGTTCAGATTGGTTTGTAATTCGTTTTCCTCTTCTTCTGTTCAATATAAAATCCATGCTTCTTCGTATTCAGCTTTAAGCAATTCAACTGTCCTTTTTTTTAATAATTCTAATATAAAAGAAAGAGCTTTATATCAAGGATCCAAAAGCATTGCTAGCATGGCTTTATCGCTGGACACATCTCAATAATGCTTCATAGCACTATATAATGCTAACTTTATTCTTGCTTCAAGATTATGACAATTTTGCAGATTATTAATACTAATTTGTTGTTGTTGATTTGACATATAGTATTCCTCATTGTCTTCACAAATGATATCATCATCAAAAACATCTTCAGAAGAATTGAAGTCAATATCCGAGGTTCTATCAAGCAAAAGCCCCTGTTTAATTGCCGTAATTGCACCATATATAAAACTCATAGTAGCGTATTTGCTACTCCCTAATAGATCAGTAGCTTCGGCAAAAGGTCTTAGAACTGTAATTAATAATGAAATTGCATCTCATTCATTATATGTTAGATTAATTTTTTCTAAACGAAGGCCATCTTTCTGGTTTGTACTATCATTATCGAATACTAAATTCATTATCATCATATTAATTACATCTCGAATTTTTATAAGCCATTTCCATGAAAGGTAAGATGAATTCCATCTTGTAGAGACATCAGCTATAATTCGTAATTGATGGTCATTTTCTTCTAAATCCTAAAATAATTAAATAATTAATCTCTATGCTAGTAATTTACATATAATATAAAATGCTGTCATGCCTATGATCGGTTCTTCACAAATATCTGGGTTCCCAAGTACTTAGTAAAAGGAGTGACTATTGAGAAGGAGTCAGGATAAAAAAAAAAAAAAAACTATACTATTATGATGCGTAATTTATTATATGAATAATAAACTCAGGTCACAAGTATCGACTAGTATGATGCAGGTAATTGATTATCTGTGATTGATCAGTTATTATCAGACGGCACATAAAAAATGTGTAATACGAATTAAGGGCTAAGTAAATTATGACGAATCTATTATACAATTAAGAGTTAAATTGATATCAGAATGTAAAATATGATGTAATTAATTAAGAATAAAATATGTATATAAAATGATCAAAGGGAAAAAGAAAGAAGTTAGTTCTTTTCTCTCTTCTCTGTTAAAGAAAACAATAAATCTTACTATTTTTTTTTTTTTTTTTTTTTTTTTTTTAATATTTAGATGACCACTTAGGCCCCTGGCACTTTATTAGTTCAAACGG